TGAACTTGATATTAATCATGTGAGAGGACAAGGGTATGATAACGGATCCAATATGAAGGGGAAAAATCAAGGTGTACAAAAAAGACTATTAGATATAATCGTATAAATCATAGAGCACTGTACACACTATGTGCTTGTCATTGTCTTAACTTGACAATTCGTGATATTGCGGACTCTTGTAGGAAAGCTAAAGATTTTTTTGGGGTGATACAATGTATTTATTCTTTGTTTTCTCATTCCGCAAGGCACTGGAAAATTTTGCAAGATAATGTAAAAGGTTTAACTCTTAAGCCATTGTCAACCACACGTTGGGAAAGTCACGTTAAAAGTGTCAAAGCAATATGATTTCAAGTTGTGGAAGTAAGAGAAGCTTTACTCCAATTGGCTGAACAAGACAATGACTCTAAAGTTAGGACTCAAGCTGATCGTTTAGCAAGACATGGACTTGGAAACTTTGAGTTATTATTAGCCATGATTATTTCGTATGATATATTGTATGTTGTGAATTTAATTAGTTAAAAATTGCAAGAAAAAGACATGCTTATTGATGTTGTTATAGAGCAAATAAAAGGATTGATTGTTTTTTTGTGTGAAAAGTATAGAGAATTTGGATTTGCTCAAGCTATGTTTGTTGCTAAAAAATGGCTGCTAACATAGAAATTGATCTAATGTTTGTGGAAAAATGTCAAATTCGTAGAAAGAGACATTTTTATGAGAATGTCAATGATGAGTCCATACAATCAACTCATGAATCGGTTGAAGACAATTTAGAATTCATTTCTTTTTATATATTGTTGATGAAGCAATTGCTTCTTTGAAGAGAAGGTTTGAACAATATCAAGCATTTGAGGATATCTTTTGTTTTTTATTTACTTTAAACAAGTTAAACTCATTGGATGAAGATAATTTGGAATCATGTTGTGACATTTGGAAATTTTTTTGGAACATGGCAGGTCTTCTGACTTGATGGGAAGGATTTGTTTGAAGAGTTAAAAGTAGTATGAGAGATTTTACTAAAAAAAAGCAAAGACATCCACTGACATTTTGAGTGCTTTAAAAAGACTAAATTGTGTTTCCAAGTGTAATCATTGCTTATAGAATATTATTGACTTTACTTGTTACAGTTGCTTTAGCTGAAAGAAGTTTTTCCAAATTGAAGTTATTGAAATCTTACTTGTGATCAACTATATGTCACAAGAAAGATTAAATTGTTTAACTTTGATATCTATTGAAAGTGAATTTTTTGGAAGAACTTGATTTTACTAGTTTGATTAATGATTTTGCAACTAAAAATGCAAGGAGGACAGTTTTTAGATGATTTTTAAACTGATGGTTGCTGGTTTTTGGTTGTGCGGTTGTTTTGGTTGCTGAACAAAGTGTTGGTTGCTAGTCGATGTTTTTTGTTAGTTTTTGAACTACCTTCACATTTTCTGCATGTAAAATACAATTGAGTGGGCTATGAATAAAAGAAAGTAAATGTAATTGACTTTATTAAGGATTGATTTGGTTCTATTTATGGATGTAATTGATGTCACTAAGGGTGCATTTGGTTCTATTTATGGATTATGAAATTTTTTTAGTTTGTATATATAGGGCCTCAACATCTCTCTTTGCACAGGGTCTCCAAAATCAATGGACCGGCCATGGGCATTAATCTCTTCATATTTAAACTTAATCAAAGTAGTGCTTCCACTAATTGAATTTAAGGTAGAACCCAAACCCTTCTCAATTTTATCATTATAATCCGTTCTCCTCTTCTTGATCATAAATTGGTCATATTTATGCCACAAGAATGCAACAGCACAAGCAACCAAAGAAATCAAAATAACAGTCACTTTCGTCTTATCAGATCTATGCGTCTAGAAATTGAGTGCAAACAGGCACTGGGCGATGCTGATATTGGTCGGACCGTATTGATTGGCGAAAGTTGCCACGTAAATCGACGGGTATGCCGTGCAAGTGGAGACATTTTCTATGAACTTGCTGGTCAAATACAAGGCTTTTAAGCTGGACAAGCTGGTGGTGCAAGAGGCACATGGCAAGCTGTTCCTGAGAGACTAGTTACAGTTACCTATGACGTTCTTAAGCGTGGCATTTCAGACTAGGGCTTTGAACTACTGCCTGGTGGTGGTGTTCATGTAGGCCTGTGAGCTCCAGCTAGTCTCGATGCCGCATGAGGTGCGAATGTCGAAATTGGGGACAAACTAGGAGGCTGGGGCTTGGTAGGCGGCCCAACAGGACTCGAAGGCATCAGGTGGGGGAGGAAGGAGTCGTTGAGCTGGAGGTACTGTGCCTCGACGAGACGGAGGCCTTAGGGGATGTACTGGCACTCGGTGTCACTTAGGTTTCTATATAGTGAAGGGTGAAAAAAAATTTAAAATAAAAATAAAAATGTTAAAAACTCATTTAATGATGTGGCATAGCCAACTCAACAACCACATTAGATGATACACCAACATGATACAAATAGATGGTCTCCCTAGCATTATCCTTAAAACAGGCACTAACTTGTTTACCAACTTTAGTAACACCAGCACATGTGGCACATGACATGGCATACCATGCCACCACCGCCTCATTTTTTTTTAATTACATATTTTGTTCTCAAAAAAGGAAGAAAAAAAGACCAGCATTTGGCATTAAACCCCTAGCCTCCCCCACCCCCAACAGAAAGAAGAAACCTTGAACGCTACCAATCTTCGATTTTGCCACTGCATCAGATGAAATTGAATTAAGCTAGGTTGCAAGTTTGGTTATCATATTTCATGTTCTTAATTAGATCTTGACATTGTAGCACAACGATGAGGGAACAACCATTTGGTTTTTTATTTATTAAAAGTTTGAAACTTTTAGATATGAAGCTAGTCCTTCTGTCATAGCCTATTTTTTTCTTTCAATTTCATTGACAATCAATGTCAAAAGGAATGAAGCAAAATGGGTCGTAAATCTCAACCTTGTTTGCTTTTGGTGGAACCTTCCTGTTCTTGGAATAAAAAATAAGGGCTTGTTTAGTAATTGATTTGAGTCTAATTTTATAAACTCAAAAACATATTTTAAATCTAAAGGCCCAAAAACTCGTATAGTAGGCCCATTTTTAAAAACTCAAACTCAAAGACCCTTATTATTGAAAACAAAACAAATGCGTTTTTCTTGAATATTTTTTTTCTCGCGTCGTTCACTCTGCTGGTTCGCTTGAGCTCACTCTGGTGCTCACTCATGCAAATCCTGTTAAAGTGAGGCAACTTAATAAATATACAATCATGCTGCTCTGATTCTGCTGCATTTGTAGTTTACTTCACGCATTGCCATCATCAACTTTTATTTTCTTTGTGCTGATTTGTGGGCGTCTTCTTAGGTATCAACACGTTAATCTCATTTATTCTTTTTGTTTCTGTATCAAGGTCATCATTAACTAATTTGTTTATGATATAAATCCTTGTGTTTTTAGGGTTTTATTGAAGTGAAAGGGAGGAGGGAGGGGAATCGTAAAGTGTTTTTTTTTTTTTTTTGGGGGAAATTTTTTTTGTTGCAAAAAATTATGGAATTTCAAAAAGAAAGATGAGATGAAAGAACAAAATGGACTGCCACATGTGATGGTATCTATAACCATAAGTTTGTCAAGTTGATCCCCGTACCGTTATTAAAAACTAAACCCCATTTGACAAATAAACAAATTTGACAATGATTAGAACTAGGAATATGATCCAAAAATAGCCACCAAGTTATTTTAATAAATGTTTGTAACTCAAACTAGATACCATCTTGAGTGCGTGTGTGTGGGCTTATGTCAAAGCTTTTAAGGGACTATATAATATCTTACTAAAAACATATGAACTCAAAAATCATGAATTTTATTAAAACATGAGTATTTATATACTGATCTTAAGATCTAAAAACCTGTTTGATATTGAACTCTAAAATATTTTTAAGACCTACAAAAATTTGAAATTTAAATCAGAAACCATAGATTCCCAAATTGAAATTAACAAAAGAAGAGAGAGAGAGAGTGTGTAAAACCTCTTTTTCTTAAATTAAAAAAAAAAATAGTCCTTTTTAAAGTTGTTTTTAGTTGGACTTTTGAAAAATGGGCTTTATCAAAAGAGAATTATGGGCTTTAGACTCAGAAATATTATTTTTGAGTTTAAAAAAGAGATTTTCTATTTAAACCCCACACTTCTCTTAGTTCACCTCATGTTCTAAGTTCACCCCAACTTTTAATTTAAATTTTCAAAATTTCCAAGAAAACCCCACTATCTTCCCAAACTACCATTAAATACACCCCAAACTGAAAAAATAAGAATTAAAAGAGATTTTCTATTTAAACCCCACAATTTTCTTTGTTCCCAACAAAAAAAAACACAAACAAATGAAACCCTAAATCCGAAATTTAATATCTAGAGGAAGAGAACAGCTTTACCTCTCTTCAAGGATTGTAACTGGAATTCTAACACTTGGGTATTGTTGAGTTGAGAACTTGAGAGAGAGAGAGAGAGAGAGAGAGAGAGAGAGAGTTTGTAAACAGGAAGTTGGAAGGATGTTTCTAAAACTTAATATGAAGAGTGGTGGAGTGTGTGGGGTGTGTGTACTAGGGTTAATTATTAAGTTCGATGACCTTTTTTGTCTTTTTACACAATAATAAAACTTACAGCTTAATGATTTAAGTATTGGGGTGAACAAAGAGAAGTGCGGGGTTTAAATAGAAAATCTCTTAAAAAATAGATCCAAGTAAAATATTAAATGGCCCTAAATCTTCCAAGAAAGTCCACATAATATAGATTGTATTCTTAAAATATGATAATGAAAATTTTTTTCGCGCAAAATTGATACCCAAAAAAAAAAAAAAAAAAAAATTATAATCGCAAAATTTGAGGAGAAGTGTGAGGTGCCATGTGTTGATATCATATAAAATTTCAATTAGAAAACTTCCTATCCCACGATCCACCATCATGGAGTCCTCTACCAGCCCAGTGCACAAACTCTTAACCAACTCGACACAGATGAAGAAAAATAACAAATGCAACATATAATCAAACAATATATGGTGGTGTAATCGAATATACTACCTAATTACAAATCATGAATTTTCTCAAAAATCAGAACAAATAATCTTACAAATTCCCTAGAAACCCTACTCTGACATCTTCAACAAGGGATCTGATCGATGAACCATCTAATTATTTTTACAGGAAGCTTGATAAGAGTGACCGCCAAATTCGCTAGCCCACCAACACAACAGCAGCATGGACACAAGCAACTCAAAACCGACCTGCAAAACAAAAAGAAGAAAGAACATTACATCTAAGAAATTGATTTAACAAGAAGATAATTCATGTGACTAGAAGACAGCCATTGCATGTGTAAGAATGAACTCACCCAAGAACCCAGATGACAGCACCAACAACAGATAAGACCAATGCAATCAAAGCAAAAGGCAAACCCAGCAAGAAACCCAATGGCCTGCAATCTCCCATGCTAATTGATCAACAAAAAGCCTTCACCTAAAACACTTGTCTCATATCTCTTTAATATACATGGGTTGAAGGAGAAGATGGAGAATGTTGAAGTTGTCATAAAGGCAGGCGGACTTGTAAATTAATTTGTAGGAAGGAAACCTGCTGTGAGGCGGACGCGGACTTGTAAATTAATTCCAAGGAAGGGAAGCCTGACGTGAGGAGGACGCGGAATGTAACCGCCACCCTCTCTGGTATGTTTTCGGATTGGACAGAATTGTCCTTTGTCAAACTCAAGGATATTCGAATTTGTTGACGCTGTTGGGGTTATTTGAGGAAATTCGTTTCCCAGAAGCTTCATCGGTTTTTCTATTGGTCAAAAGTCTAGATTGTGAACTACGTGCGAAGACTTCCTCCGGATGGTTTCCGCGTTGAAGCTTCTTCTGTTTTTGTATTCATTGCGTGCGACTCAACAAAGATTTTATTTTTTCGCTTAATCATTACTAAATATAATTAATGATAAATTCATTTTTTATATAATATCATTATCTGAAATTCAAATTTTGTTAACAGTTGTTCGATGAAGAGGTATCAGTTTTTAGTAGAGACGGACCTATAGTGAGGTTAATGGGGTCAAACGATCCTATGGACTCTATGAAAATAAGTTTGAAGGTCTTCTTGAGGTATCAGTTTTTTTTAAAACATGTTGGCCAAAACAGCTTGGTTTAGGCCTAGCGCTTTTATTTTTATTTTTAAACACACCGGCCAAAACAGAGTCGTTTTAAAAAGTTAAAATAGTTCCAGCCATTCCATAACCCCTCCACCCGATCCCAGCCTCTCCAAAACCATTTAACCCCCATCTCCTCCATTGCCGCCTCTGCCACCCAAAAAAAAAAAAAGGAAGAATTTTTACACTATGATCCTATAAGGTAAGATTCCTGAGTCCGTCACTGGTCTTCAAACCTTTATATAATAGATAATTCGTTCAAGCTAGAGTACATAGAATTTTGGAATCAAATTATAGGCTTTGATTTGTGATAAGGACACTGCAACTCTGCAGGACTCTATCACAAACAAAATCAGTATTTACCAACAAAATCAGTATTTTTAATTTAATTTACTGTTGTATTGATTTGATCTATTGTTATAAATAGAATTTATTTCGTCTTATTTTTTATTCAGTTATTTGGTTAATTTCTGATGTTCTCCAATTGAGATTCAAAAATTGATGCTTAGTATGGGCCATTTCTTAACCCATCATGATTCCTTAACCCATTTCTGGGCCTTCTTCTCGTAACTGCTTAGTATGGGCCATCTAACTGGGCATGGTCATGCAAAATTAGAGCCCAAATAGACATTTAAGCCCTTTTAAAACTTTAAAAATAATATATTAAAAAACATGTTAAACTAAACCGATTAACAGGTCCATTTAAAAAGCCCTGGAATTGAATTTGGTAAGGTAAATTGTCCAGATGTTGAGTGTTCACTAATGTCGAGTCAAAAGTGCTTTTAAATCGGAGAGGAGGAACAAAAGAGCACACAGAGAGAGAGAGAGAGAGAGGGAGCAGATCACCACAGCAGTGGCTTTTGGTTTTTGCTGAATTTTGGTGTCGTCTTCGTCAACTGTCGACCGGCGTTAAATAAAATTGCAGCACTGAGAGGTGCTGTTATCTTCTCTTACTTACAAGCTCTACTCAACATGATGCCATAGTTCATTCATAAAAACAAAAAGGTACGTTTCCATGTATTCCGGATAACAACAATTCACTTTCCTTGTATTATTATTTACTTATCTGTCTCTGCCCTCCCATTAATTTACCTCCTGCTGCTGCATTTCCAACCCCAAAGCCCTACCCTGCCCTAGACGACGCCGTTTCACTTCTCTGCCGGTCCTATCTCTCACTCTCATTCTCAGTCTCAGTCTCGGCCGCCACTTTTACCCCTGCAGCCTACAGGCAACAAAGGCAAGCTTCGCTTCACCGCGTTTCTCTATCTCTAAGACCCATTTTCTTGGTATTCTCTTGAGTGTTTGAATTTATAAATTATAACTCTTTTCGTGTCTTTTGATCCAATTTTATTATTCCTCTCTTCGGTCCCCTAGTTAAATCAACGAAACCGCAGCAAACAACTTCGATTGGTTGTGCGTTCTTTCTTTCGTACATTATTTATTTATATATTATTTAATTTAAAAAAATAAAACAAGAGATTGAGCACGTCACACTCTTGCTAGGACCAGGCCGAATGTTAGGGTTTGGATTTTCCAGAAACTATTTCTCAAGAACAGGGGAAACCAAAAGTGCCATTGCATCTCCTGTGTTTTGTTAATTTATGTGTTTGTTTTATTCCATTCAGTGCCAGGAAGGAAGCAGTATATATATTACTTCATTTTATTAGTATATATAAAATGAACATTATCTGATTGAATATTATATTGTATTCAGATTTCAGAGTGTAAAATCAAATCAGTATAATTTAGATGGAGGACAAGGAAAAATTGGGCCAAGAGAAGGATCAACTTGGGCAGCCACCTCAGCCAGAAACAAATGATCAAGTTATGAGGGATGCTATTCAGGACAAGCCGGCTACTCATGAGGGGAATGTTGGTGATGATGTTAAAGTCAATGAGGCTCTTCTTAGTGATGTGCCCATAGAAAACAAGGCTGATGGCAGCAATGCCACTGTCAAAAATCAGCTCAAACCTGTAGATAAACATGTAGGGGTGGGGGAGTTGAAGAATGGGTCGAACGATACTGAGGTACCTAGTTCCAGACATAATGTTTTTGTTTATGAATGACTTTAATGCAATGAGTGTTCTCTTTCCCGGCTATATTTCTCAATTGCATTTCTTCTTTTACTTTGCTTTTCTAATTTGCAGATGGCTGAGGCTGAGGATACGGGGGATGGTACACCATCGCAGCAAGCAGCATTTATGAAGGAGGTGGAAAGTTTCTACAAGGAAAACACCTTGGAATTTAAGGCCCCTAAGTTTTATGGAGAGCCGCTGAATTGCCTTAAGTAAGATTCTGGAAATAATTATTTTCACTGTATAAATTATGTGTCTTTTGCGTATAAAAGAGTAATTATGTGTGTCTGAAGACTGAAATCAGGTGTGGTCTAATCTCTGCATACTTTTTGTGGGATGTAGGTTATGGAGGGCTGTTACTAGATTGGGTGGCTACGATGTGGTATGTATGCATCTTGTTTCTCTTTGGATTAATTAAACTTAATGCTTAGCATAATTTCATATCTGTCTGCTGTAGACAAAGCATTGCAAAGAATGCTTGTACTCAATTAGAATTTAATTGAAAGTTCCATAGATTTACTGGTTTATAATTTCACCAAACCGTGCCAAACTTATTGAAACTATACTTTTGCAATTTAAAAATGTTTGTCCTATCGTTAATTTATTGTCTGGACTGTTAAATACTGGGATCTTATGATAGATGCAAATGAATGGAACCTGATAAGTAGATTAAACGAGTTGATAGTTGAATTATAGTGGGCTCATTCATGGTATGTGTGGGAAGGTTCACCAACTTTATACAATGATTTTGGTGAGGAAAAGCTCACCAACCATATTTGTGGCATATGAAATATTGTCTGAATCATGTGAGGGAAAGTTCACCTACTATATATAGTGAATTTGGTAAATTTTGGTAACTTTGAGAAAATCAGGACGTTATTGTTCAACTCTATTAATTTTGATCTTTAAAACAATTATGGTCCATATGTATAACATTTATGGGCCTTTTTGTGATTCTCTTTCTGTTTCCCATAGGCTTTCACTCACAACTTTAATGCTTTACCCTGAGAGGAAAAAAATAAAAGAAATAGAAGATGAAGATATTTGATGGAAGTTTGAGACAAATAGAAGAATGTTAAAAGGGTATTACAAAGTTCCAATTTGGGTGTTTGAAGTTTCAAAATGACTAAGGGTACTGCTGGTGTGCAGTCTTGTCTTTAACCTGCACCAACCAATAAGTTGGACTTACATTGGATGTTATTTATCACAAACATTTGGTCATCAAAAGCATCTGAGAAAAAACAATGTTCTGAACCACATTTGTTGTCAGTTACAAATCTTGTGTCTCAATCTTTTAGATTGTAGAATTTGTTATTGTATTAGAGGTGGTTGTGTAGGGGTTGCTGGATTTTTAAAACCATTAATAATCCAAGAATAGTATTGGATTGCAAGGTTCTACAATATATCACATTCAAAGCAAAAATTTGACAACTTCAAGTCTAATCTTAAATTCTGAAATTCAACAGGCTTATGAAAATTCCATATAGTAAATTACCTATTGAGGAGTAGAGAGTTTAGCTTTAACTACCTCCAATCTCAAAACTTTGGTATGATGGTGATAATCTCACCCAAAAAGTTTTGAATTTTCAAAGCAAATTGAATTAATTTCTCACAAATTAGTTCAATTTTGCGCGAAAAAACAAATTGAACTTGTTCAAATTAACCAAGAACCAAGCGTAACCATCTATGTATAGGGAACTTAGGCAGGTAAAACTGGTTTGGTTCTGGATTGATTTTGACGAAAGGAAAACAAGTATAATTCTACTAACTTCCTTTCTAAGATTTATGTTATGCTCAGACAAATGCAAATTGTCTTCTTCTATCCATCACCAGCTCCGAAAGAATGCTTTTGAAACATGATTTGCAAAGAAACATTTAATGAAACAATAGTTCCTATGTCTTCCAGAAATGTGATGTAGGACAATAGTAAGAGGAAGGAATAAAAAGAGATCCGGACTCACTCCGTCCTTTGGGTGTTTTTAATCACTCACTAAAGAAAAATTCTGGCATCACACTGGTGTTGAGAAACACACCAAAGGTGGCTTGGAGTCACCCCAAGTCTACCCATATGCTTCACACATGAGGAGAGGTGGAGCCATGTCCATTGATACAATGTATAGATAAATACTATGAGAATCAAAGAGAATTTTGAAGAGCTTCAACGATTTATTAAAACTCTTAAGGTTTCGATTTGGGTAACTCTAAAGAAGAATCCCTTGGACATTAAAACGTGAGCCGTCATAAATTAATTTGCCATATGTTAAACACTGCTCTTAAGTTTATTGGCTGACCTGTTACTGTTTGGCTATGTGTCAAAAAAATATTTGTTTGTAGCATCACTTCAGCCGTGCTATGGTACTAGTTTATTGCGCTTGAGTGGGAATGTTAGAATTTATGCAGTTTATTTAATGTTATTTAATTTGTTTGGGAACTTTCCATTATTCTAGATTCCATTTATGGTGTGATTTTATTTTATTTTTGTTTCCTTGTTTGACTTGGATTGGCCTCCCGCCTTCATGTAAATTATTTTTTAGACTTTGGTATTCAAACTGTGAGGACTAGAAAACCCTAGCTGACTTCCTCCTCTTCCTCTTCCTTGTCTTCTTCTTCTCTCTTTATTGTTCCATATACTTTCTTTCTTTTCTCTTTCCATCTACTATCTTTCTTTTTGACACATACAAAAGGGTGCAATGTGTGGAAGTGCACATCTATTGCCTGATTGTATGCACCATCCTATTTGGTGAACTAAATGAAAGACTTCATTTCTAACTTTGCATTTTAAATTACTCAGGTACCTTCAGCATTGAAGGCCTTTCAACATTACAGAAATTTGAGCTTAAATTTGCAAAATGCTAGGCTCATATCAAACCAAATCCCTAACTCTTTGTTTCGCTCCTCAAAACTTTATATGGAACTGGAACACAGACAAACTTTTTGAACATAGTTATTTAGGAAGTTGTGCATATGCTTGGAATATTGACTAAGCCTTGGCCCTGATGATATAGGAAACTGTTTCTTAGATTCTGTAGGTTCCTTTGCACAATGCGTTATGCCACTTTAAAAAACTTTACCTTTTTCCATTCATGTAATATTGACGTTGACAAGAGGAATTATTATTGTTTCTATTGATTAGTAAAAGATAACTGTTATTGTGGTTTATAATTGCTTGCATAAGAGTCTTTGCTGCCCTGGTTTTATTATCATTAAAACCCTAAACTTATAAGCTACAAGGACTTTAGGAGTATTTAAAAACTTCCTGAAAACTTGATTGAGTTTAAAATTGCACTTCAATATATGAATCTGCAATTGGAGTTTTGATTACATTAAATTATGTGCTGGAGTAAGAGATCATGTCTAAATATTTATTTGTTGGATTATATTCTGGGTAACTGCAGGTGACTGCATCAAAGTTATGGCGGCAAGTAGGGGAGTCCTTCCACCCGCCCAAGTAAGGGATATATTGTTTGTAGTTGTTTTCTAGCAATCATTTAGAACCTGCATTAATCTTAAAGTTTAGAACTTGCAGTACTCTTATATAAAATATAGCATGGAACCTACCTTACTTTGATATTTTGAGTTTAGATGATCTACTGTTGCAGGTTGTTACAGATTTTGGTTTGTAAGCTGCATATAGCTCACGTCCCCAATATAAAAGAAAAGATTGCTGTTACAAAAAATTTAGAAGCTGAATTTCTTAGACATTTGGAGTTTAGCTGTTTTATTGTTGGAGGTCATTATGGATTTTGGTTAATGATCTGCATATGGATCATGTCCTCGGAAAGAAAAAAAAAAAAGCAAAGAAAAGAAATGTTGCAGACAACTAAAATCTTGCTGCTATATTTTCCATTATTATTATTTATTATTTATTATTTGGGTTGTTAGCTTCATAACATACTATGTTGCTGGATTTAATACAGCTCTTATTTTTTATCTAAATCTTTGCAAAGTACATTATTCCATCTGATGGACTGAACTGTTTCTCTTTATCTCCTTTAGGACTTGCACAACAGTATCTTGGACATTCCGCATATTTTATGAGAAGGTAATGCCTGTTTAGGGACGAGATGATGATCAACTACTAATTTTGCTCTTTTAATAGAAACTTGATCTATCACCAACGAGGGGTTAGGTGGAATGGCCAGGCCCATGGTTTGCTCCCATGTGGTCTGAGGTTTGAAACCCCCAGAGGTACCTATCTAGCCATTTCTTAGTGTTTCCTGCCTCCCAAAGGTTGTGTAGGGTTCTTGGGGGAGGGGCAGTTTCAAAGCTGTTTCACTTTGCTGATTGGTGGATTTATGTGTATAAAAAAAACAAACAAAAGGAAACTTGATTTAACAGTAGGCATTAACTCATGATGATTACTGTACTATGTGTGATTCTATTCATATAGGTTTTGGGAACACTATTTGGATAGTAGTTAAGTGGGAGGATCATGACTTGGGTCTTCTAGTCTAGTTAATAAGGTTAATACTTAATAATAAAGTGGATTCGTTGTTACATTTGCATAATAAAGGGGATATGCTTCCTGTTTCTTAACATACAAAAGGGATATGCTATGTTTTTCGATTATCTTTACTGTCGTGAAAGGTGTATAAGCTCTATTTCTCACAGGGAGCTTGACCCCACTAAAAATGAGTTCCTTGAATCTGTTCCTATTAGACTCTGTTTCTGAGGTATTATGGTTTTAGTCATCATATCAAATTGCTACTTGTTGCCAATGATTGTATTATTTCATTTGTCTTCTATTCCCTGAATATATCAACTTGTGCAGGCACTTTTGGAGTATGAGAAGCATAAGAGGCAAACTGGTGAGCTTCGACTTCCTGTTGGACCCATCACTCAGTCCACGACCGTTGAGAAGGAGGTGGAATTTCATTTATTTATTATGTACTTCTTTGATTGCATCTAGAATATCCTTTTCTGTACTAGGCTAAGGGCTATGTTGCACTGATTCTTCCAAATTGAGCCAGGGTGAGAATCTGATAGGGATACGGATAATGATATCGGTTAGATACACTGGGATACATATCCAATACAGAAAATGGGGTATTGTTGGGTTTTTATTTAGTTGACTACGGGATATGTCATCAATACAGCATTGATATACGCAGGACAGCGTGATATGGTCAAGAGATTTCCAGGGGTCATTTTGAAATTATTTTAAAAATTCGGTGGTCTTTTTGAAACATTAAAAAAAATATGTGTTTCAAATTTAATTTTTAAAAGTTAATCAGACCTACCCCACTTCTTCATGTTTGACAGAAGGAGGAAATGACCTAGGATTTCTCATTCTGAGAAAAAAAATGGCGCCCAGAAATAAGAAGAAAGAAGAAGATTTGCTATTTTGCACGGAGAATAAGCATGCTTTAATATTTTTTTATTTTATTTTGTGTGATATCATGGAAAATGAACATGATAGATGAACAATTAATTTGCAATGTAAATAATGTTTACAAGTATATATTATTTTAATGTCCATATCCTTGCCATACTGGTATGCTAGTTTTTCTAGATTTTCCGCATTGCTATATGTATCGTATCGTATCGCCATACCTGTATCTGTATCTGTGCAACATAGGCTGAGGGTTAGTGTTAATTTTACTTAACTGAAACTTTTCATGGTGTTGTTTAGTTGACTTTCTTAATAATCAGTATAAGGCACTAACTGCATAATATTATATATATATATATATATATATCTCTCTCTCTCTCAGTGATACTTTCATCTGTCTCTTGTGCAGGCAAGTGGTCATCAAACTCCTGGATCAGGCAGGGCACGAAGGGATGCTGCAGCTCGTGCTATGCAGGGTTGGCATGCACAGCGTCTTGTTGGATATGGTGAAGTTGCTGAGCCTATTATTAAGGTGCACTGAAACTCTATGTCTTCATATAATGATTATACTTATTTTTATTAGTTTTGTATGTCTGGAGAATTTGTACATCTTTCATTACAGTTCAATTTTTTTTTATCTTGAAAATGATTTTTTTTTTGTAGGACAAGAACTTAAGTTCTACCTCAAAGCGTGAAAAGAATCTTAAAAGCATTGGTATGTTTCCCAACAATGAAATATATTTCTGGCCAATCTATATTTTATGCAAAAATGCATTTAAAATAATATTGTCTTGTGTTGTCAGGTTCAATTAAACACAGGGCACCAACTAACCTGGAGCATGCAACTGCAAATATTGAGGCAGATAAGCAGTTACGATTGTTATTCGTTGGTCATTTCTGTAATTATATATTATATATGTTATATTTTTGCTATGATTTCTCTGTTTTAGATCACCTCTTCTCTGTACTAGTTTAAGTTAACTATTTTTATTTTCATGCATTGCTAAGATGTGATTGTGTTAGCATTCATTTTACTTTTGTGGACTCTTTTGCGTTATACCTGAATTTGGAAGAAATCTTACTAGAACATTTGTGTATAGTTTTGGATTCATAAATCTTCATTTGCAAAAGAAGGAAAGGACTTTAAAAAGATTTTGACCATTGGACATTTGACTATCCTTTGTGCTTTGGGTGTTGGAGAAATAATAGAAGTGCACCTTTTAGGAGGGCTGTAATAAGTAACAAACAATATATTCCCTAACTGCCTCAAAACATCCCCATGCCATCAAGAAGGTAAAACTTTGTTAAGTACATTTATTAAGCAACAAATCTGATTTACATTAAGGCTGCATTTGATTTTTTTATTTTTTTTTCCTGATCAAATCAAAGGCTACATGTTTTCATCTGGTAGGGTAGTCACGACTGTTGTTGATCTTGGACCTCCAGCTGATTGGGTGAAGATCAATGTACGAGAAACTGTAAGTGCGTTTTGTATTCTTCTCCTGATATTCTTCCCAAGATCTAGATTTGATTCAAATTTTGGCTATCTTTTGTTGGTTCTAACTACTCTCACTCTCTATATGCTCAGAAAGATTGCTTTGAGGTATATGCTTTGGTACCTGGTCTTCTGCGTGAGGAGGTGAGCCCTTGTAGAATCCTCTTCCTGTTACCCTTCTGTTTATCTCTGCTTTGTACTTATTTATATAATGAATGTTAACATGGGGATTTTAGCATGATCATTGTTTCAATGGTTATAATTGGATGGCTGAGATGGAGCAGTTGCATGATTTTTTATTACCACCCTTCTGATATTAGTTATTCCACATTTAGTGTGGCTATTGGTGATGAATGATATGTTATTTCCTTTGATCCCTGAGATCTGTTGAAAGATAATAACTGTGATTAAGGAATGCATTTATGTGGGGGGTTTTGTGTCTGAGCCTACATGTGCTTAGTGTTTTTTTTTTTTTGGGTCAAAATATTTAAAACAAAGTACAATTACAATGAAGATCCTCTAGGGATGCTATAACCTTACAGATCAAAATTAAACCCAAGTAAAATATCCATAGGAAAGTTAAGATTTTGGAGTCACCTTCATTTTCCAAAGACGACAATCTAAACCTCGATGCCCATATAAATTGCTTGCTTTAAAGCGAGAGCTTCTGCCTGCAAAACAGATTTATGACCAAGCGGACTAGATCCTGCTATTAAAGGTTTAGCATTTGTATCACGAATAATGAAGCCTGCAGAAGAATTTCCATTTAGTAAAACGGATCCATCAAAATTAATAATGTAGTAGCAGGACTTAATTCCTTTTGTAAGTCCCACACATCCACATTAGAGATGGCAAACATCTAGAGGCACTATATCATACCATACTTCGTATTGACACAACTTAGAAATAGAAATTGATACAAGTGAACCATTTGTCTCATTTCCGTTTCTAAACCAAGAAAGCTGGTGGAAAATGGGAAATTTCTTAAATGTTAATTTGAGCTTGTCGAACGTTTCTTGTGTGATGATCACATTACATATTTTCTCATAGGTGAAGTTGAGATTCCACCCCAAAACCAATTGGCAATGAGGGGAGTAGCTCAACTCCTTATAAGCCCTTGCAAGGTTTTCTAACTTTCCAATGTGGGACTTTATACTTTCACATTCTCACAATAGGGAGTCAATCTTGTGTGTTAAATAATGTTGCTTAACCAGTCATTGCCTTCAACATGCCAAGTCTTCATGCTTCATCGAATCACTAGAGCTCCTCTATGAGTTCATTTCTAAGCAGGGTCTTTATCCTCTTTTGTAGCGTCTTCCAAAAATAGAGCTTATGAAGTTCTTATTTGGACACTTTGCTTGTATTGTACATGTTGGTCAGAGACTTGTAACACTTGGCTAGCTGATGGTTTGAAGCATTTTGTCCAGTTGAAACATCATCTGGATTGTTGTTTCCATTTTCAAAAACCTGGGAATTTAACTGTACCTTCCCTTGGATGAGATCATAAGATTTTTCTGAATTACAACCACCAAAAACCAGTAGTTGTTACTTTCCCCATGTCATCAACATCTCCACAACATTTGTTCATGACTGGCAGAGGAAGTCAATCATGTGACAATTCGGGCAATTTGTAGGTTAATCATCTTCATTTGCATGTCTATGTTTGTTTGTTTTTTTCTCTCCGTATGTATTCATGCCATGATGCAATATGTGTGAGTGAAAATATACAAGTCCCTATTTTTTTGTATTGTCCTTAAATACTTGTAGACCATGAATACAATTGTGGATCATATGGCATCACTTGACATATGGCTGGAAAATTTTCACAGCATCATTTTTGACATCTATGATTGAATGTTCTAATCTATGGTACGTATCAGGTGCGAGTCCAATCAGATCCAGCTGGACGTCTGGTTATAACAGGCCAACCAGAGCAGGTTGACAATCCTTGGGGTATTACACCATTTAAAAAGGTATCTCTTTAGCTTCAGCATTGACTAATGAGAAAGGTCGCCACTGGCTTTTAAGGTTTGTGCATGTCAGAAATGGGTAGACAAGGTTGGAATTGAGAAAAGGAAGCATTATGCCCCGAAAAAAAAAAAGTAAAATAAAATGATGTCACCTGCTGGGAATTCCATTTCAATCCCCATAGGCAATAAACTAATTTGGACCGCAAGAAACTTTGTTTTTTCTATTTGCTGGAATTTGTGGTGTTTAAACTATCTACCTGGAGTGTCTGAGCTGGTTGCAAAACCGTTAGAATCAACAATTTGTTACTTCAGTGCACATTTTCTTTATAAATTTGAATTGTTACCAGCTAAAACAAAAAAAGAGGTTACATTTAGTCTTTGTCCTGGTTTTCAGGTTGTGAGCTTACCTGGCAAAATTGATCCGCTTCAAACATCTGCTGTGGTTAGCCTACATGGCCGGTTGTTCGTGCGTGTTCCTTTTGAACAGTGATCAGCTTGAACCTTCCTCCCTTAGTGGGCTAGTTGATCAATTTTTCAGTGTAGGAATTACATTTTTTATTTTTATTTTTATTTTTATGTTGGGAGAGATTTAGGTTGAAGGTTGGAACTAATTTGAGTTGATGTATAATCCGTTATTTCAGTCAAATTTACCAGCATCCATGTGCTTTCTGCATGAGTAGAGTGGAACTTGCTCCGCCAAATTTGACGTTTGGGTTAAAATCCCCCATGAACGTGAACATGAATCCCCCAGCAATAATCCTAGCACCACCCACTCTTAACCCAACTTTTAAAATCCCATTTGATGTTTGGGTTAACTCCTTAACTGTCTGGCGGCGCTATATTTTCTTCCGTACGCTCAGTGCTGATTCGAATCGATTACTTAGGTTTCTTTTGTGGGGATGCCATCTCCATGATGCTCTCTCGGTTACGTTAGTAGAGTTGCGTGAATGCAACTATGCACAGAAGTTGCATGTAATAATAATAATAATAATAAAACATTCCCAAAGGGGGGGTGCCGTATTTTAATTCGGTTGTACCTTAGAAGCATGCAAAGCCAGCAAGGCTAATTCAGACTACAAGACAACTCGATTTTGCAACTCAAGAGCGAGCCAGCAAGGCGGCTATCAATTGGAGTAAATTACAGGTCTCGCCTCAAGTTTTAGTAAAACAGATCGATCATGCAAGAAAGAAATGGCCCGATATGTCAGAAATTTGGCGGAAGGCCGGAGTTGTTTGTTGGTTGGTGGGTCTCACAAGTTGGTCAAAACTTAACTACAAGTCATAAAAAGTCATGACCCGCAAGCAATCTTTGACTGCAATTTGAAGCCCACATTGACTTGAACTGTCCAAGTACCTTACGTCAAGGAAAAATCTTTAGTGGACTTGGAGCTCGGAAGCCCTATAAAAAGATGCTTCAAAGATACTGATTTTCAACCTGATTTCTTCAAAGATTTCACCAACTGATTTCAAATTGATTTCAAGCCTTTGAGGCAACTGGACCCCACATGTTCTTTGGTTGATGCTCTGCTAATTGGGTGATTTCAAGCCTTTTCCTTAGTATGGATCACTAGTTTAGTGATTGTAAACTGTTTCGCAGTCGCATGTGGCCATGATTTGTTGTTGTTTGGTATTGGTGATACTCTCTGTGATTCATACATGTCAAGGTAAGAATGATTTTAATTTGGTTAACAATACCCTTGTGGGCAAGGGTGGAACTATAAATTCTTCAACGGATGGACTAGCTAAAGTTATTAACTTAAAATCTAATAATTTTTGTTGTTGGTATTTACCATTCCTATAGTTTTTCTAGAAACATTAGTACACATTAAATCATATAAACCACATTAGTTCAAGCTTTAACATAAAACAAATACATAGTAAATCCAACTAAAAAACACATATTATCAAAATGAAAATATGTTCAACAAACATATTTGAAAGTATACCTATTTAAGTTGAGCCCTACGATCCTTGAGAGAATTGAAATATTTTGTTATTGCATATGAATTGATATTGTTAGCAAGTTCTTTTTCAATGAAGATAATCATATAGAATCTACTAGAAACTCATTCTCCATTTAACCCGCACCGTGGGCTAGCTAATTGAATATTGATGACAAGTTAAGAAAACATTGGGAGAAAATAGGAAAGGGTAGAGAGTTAAAAGTCATGAGTGTTTACTACGGGATTATGTTTCTTAATGAGCAGATAAGTTAATCTAAAATGATTATAGGCCTACAAAGTTGAGTGGACAATGGGTTACTAGGCTACATTCAATGGCCTACTAAGTATTTATAGGGCTAATCACATTAATGGTGCTAGTGTAAATGCTCTTAACCATTTGGGATACAATCCCCATTGAACATGTAGTACATTTTAATTTTCAAAAAATGCTACTCGAGCTAGAGCCCATGGCAGCCCTCATACTAGTTTCGTCCTTTGCTTGTGATTATTTTGTTGTTGCCAAAATTAGGAAGGAGATGGGGTTTTCTGGCATACATTGTCGAGGTGTCATGAGAGTTCCAACTTGAGACCATTAGACTACAAATTAAGACCATTTTCATTAAGCTAGACTCCATTAACTACCACTGTGATTGTTTAAATATATTATATCTCTGGTTTAGATGCGCTACCAATTTTAGTCAAATTTCAAATGTCGTCATTTTGTAGATTTAATATTTGACTAAAACTGGTAACATGCATAAACTACAAGGGAAACAATTAACACAATTAAGGGCTCGTTTGGGAGTGCTTCTCTAGGAAGCACTTCTACTTATAAGCACTTTTACCAAAAACACTTTTATTATAAAGACGTTGAAATTTTCATAAGAAACATAAGTGCTTCTTGGAAAAGCACTTTGGAGTGCTTCCTGAAGAAGCACATGACAGGTGCTTCTTCAAAAAGCGCTTTTATGGCCTAAAAGCGCTTCTCAACATTTCTGTCAAACGCTATCAGAAGCGCTTTTGGTTGTCTAAAAGCACTTTTAACTATTCTAGAAGCACTCCCAAATGGGCCCTAAAACTATTATATTGGATTTTTAATAATTCTTATTAGAAAAAAAAAAAAAAAAAAAAAAAAAAATAATTTTA